TAGCGCTCCTTAGCCGGAACGTCTTAGTTCGAGCCCCGTGTAGCCGCGCTACACTGTGTTTGAAGCAGCGGTGATTTAAAAATGGCGGCTCCCCGCTTATGCTAATGAAGCCCGGGAAATTCAAATCCCGGGCTTTATTAGCAAGTGCGGTATGCATACATTACCCTCCTAGTTCGAACTAGGAGGGTAGTGTAGACATACCCTCATTGACCGTGAAGTACCTCGTATTAGTTTGTAATAAATATGTGACACACGGGAGTAGTGGAAAAACTGAGAGTTATTTCCTAGCCTCAGTCGCCTGACATGGGCTACAGAAAGTTACACCTCTGTCATGTGACAAGAGTCAGATACTTCAAGAGACAAATCTTTGTACCAGAATGACCACAAAAGCCAGCTGTTTCAGAAACCTGAAATCCTTCTGTGGGAAGCAGAAAGTGCAGAGGAAAGTGAAAATAATCATGAGGCATATAATGATGATCAAAACTTTTCAAACCTCCAGACAAGCTTTTTGGAAAATTCATGTGTTGCCAACTGTCTTGATTTTTATCATTGTGCATATGACATTTGAAAGGTGTTTTGTTGTTGTTGTTTTTTAAGATTCAAGTCCAGGATTTATTTGACAGAGACAATCTCAGTTTTAGTTTTTTAAAAGTAAGTTTCTAACCTTTGTGGTTGCAGAAAAATTTCAAAACATAATTCAAGTGTACACTAAGATCTCAAAAACTGGAAGACAAATTAAAAGCATCCCAAATTTTTTTCAAATTGTCTTAAAAATCACGAGATTTTTTTTTAAACTCACGGTTTGGAAAGAGGCCCAAGTCATGATTTTTAAATGCATGGGATTGGTAATACTGTATTTTAGCCAAACCCTAAGCACACATAATGGGCATATTTTCTGTGGGGCTGAGTTCTGGTTTGCCTTTTTGAGGGCATAAAGTTTCTCCTTGCAACATGAATTACAGGTGAGTAAATCTGAGTATTTGTGACTCGACATTTCCAGTGTCTGCCTTCAGTCAGGTTCATAAAATAGCAATTTGTGCTCCTTCTTCAGGAGCAGGTGCAAAAATGTGAATGTACCTTAAGTGCGGTGCAGTGTTCTAGCACAAATGGGGAAAATGCCATGCTGTTATTCACCAGTGGGTGTTCACTGTAAATAGAGATGCAACAACTAAATAGAAAGGATGCTTACAAACTAAATGATATGTCAGCCATCTGCTCTGTTTAGTCTTCAATCCACAGGAAGAAACTTATTTGGTTACCTGAGCAGTGTGATGATGACCAGGAATTTATTAAAAATTAAGCAACCTATTCTAGAATCTTCAAAAAAATCCTTTTTGATATAAATGTTCTAAATTGCTAGGGGGGAAAAAAATCCATAAGCTGATTCCATTAACCAATGGCATGGGGATGGGAGTGAAAATCAAGAGACTTCACTGGCAGAGGGCTGACTGTCTCCATTTTTGGCCCTGTAAGCACAACCGGCAATCAGCTAGGCTGTGTGTTCCAGTTAGTTTAAATGTTGACTTTCTCTGAGTTACCCCATGAGATGTAAAATAGGGTTGAAGCTGCATGAGTGGAGACCCAGGAAATTCAAATAAAGGCTGAATTGGAAGCAAAGCATGCACAGGAAACACAGTATGAAGGATTCCATGGGAAGCTCCAATCTATGCATATGAAATTTACATTCATCCACAAATATATATACACAGAATAGATCACACATCAGTAAAAAAGAGAAAGAGGTTCTTTGATGGACTGTTGCATCATTTTGCAGTTGCTGTTCAGGTGTGCATGCACATTCATATGTGTGCGCACGCACTCACACATGTGCACACACATATATACAATTTATCAGAGCTGAAATAGTATGTATAGCAGAGTCGCTTGGAAACTAGAATTTCTGTCATTTTGACATTTTGCAACAAAAAAAATTGTTCTGAACTAGAATAAAACCCCGAAATTTTAAAATATCCCACAACATGAATATTCTAAAAAAAAAAAAAAAAATCAATTCAGGGTCATTGACACATTTTGTTTTGATAATGTTTGACACATTCCATTCAGATAAAGTCAAATCTTTTCATTTCTGTAAGTTAAAAATGTGTCATTTTGGTAATGTTGTCCAGATTTTATCACATTGGTTCATTTTGTTTAGACTTTTCTATGAAAATTATTGACTATTATCTAGTCTACATCTCTATACAACCTACTGTATGCAATATTGTAATTCATATTTTAATATACTATAAAGACTAACCAAATCAAAACCATAAAGTAGAAACAAAAGGTTGTGACGTTCCCAAGATGAGCCAGTTGGGTGGTAACAGTACAAGCAGGTTGAAAGGATTCAGTTGGGCTCTTCTCCTTTACACATTTCATTGAAATGGGAATCTTTCAGTTTTGACAAAGCTGTGCTTTTCAATGGAAACGTTGTTTGACTGGGTCTTTCATTTAGCACTTTGCAGGTTAGAACCTCAGCTGAAAGAAGCTCAGTGCAGCCCTGGGCATAAAAAGGTCTTTGTGCTGTCCAAATCATGGGGCCAGCAGACTGCTTTATTCCAGCTGTCAATGGCCCCCAGGAGCCATTAGTACAGCAGCACCATGGTCACATGCCCTGTGGAGGGGTTTGTAATAGGAGTTGTTATACCAGCCTTATGCGACCTACATATTCTCCCCATGCGAAGGAGGCACAGATCTGCCAGCTGTATGGTGCATTGCAGCACTAAAAATAGTACCAAGTAGCCCGCAAATATCTGGCCCTTGAGGGTGTATCTAGACTACAGGGTGGTTGTTTTTTTAAAGTGGCCTTTTTTCGAAAAAACTTCCCCTGCATCTAGACTGCTGCTGAATTCTTTCAAAAGTCAATCGAAAGAATGCAGCAGTTTTTTCGACCGGGGAAAACCTCGTTTTACGAGGAAGAACGCCTTTTTTCAAAAGTGCTCTTTCGAAAAAAGGCGCTATGTAATGCAAACTGTGCTTTTCTGAAGTAGAGCATCCAGACTGCCTGGGTGCTCTCTTTCGAAAAAGAGGCTTGCTTTTTCAAAAGTACTGGTTGTAGTCTAGACCCTCTTTTTCTAAAGAGGCTTGCAGACTAGACGTAGCATTATAGTCATGGTGCTTTACAGACTTCTCCTAATGAATCCTCCTGAAAGCCCTGTGCCATAAGAGAGTAAGGCCTCGTCTACACTTAAGGATAAGTTCAAATTAAGATACTCAACTTCAGCTACGTTAACTGTGTAGCTTAAGTCGAAGTATCTTAACTTGAATTTTGGTGCCGTCTACACCACAGGAAGTCGACAGGAACACACTCTCCCTTCAACTTCCCTTACTCCTTGTAGAAGCAGGACTACCAGCATTGAGGGGAGCGCTCTCTCAGTTTGAATTAGCATGTCTTCACTAGACCCACTAATTCAGGCCCTGGAAGATCGACTGTGGCTGCTTCGATCTTATCTGTAGTGTAAACATGGCTTAAGAGTATTACACCCCTTTTAGGTAAGGAAACTGAGGCAGGGGAGTTAAGGAACTTACAGAAAGAGCTGGGATTTTCTGACTCACCGCTGCATGTGCTGGATAAAATACTACACCCAAATGGAACGACGCGGGGAGACTTAGAACTTTGTCCCCCAGAATGGCATAACCCTTCCGCCCACAATCTGATCATAGCAT